TAGGCCTTTAGTACACAATATAGGCGGGCGGCCACTGCGAGCGAAAATAAACTAAGCGAAGATAAGATCTGTACAAATCAGCTTCCATACTTTTTAACGGCTACTTGAGCGAAACAAAACGAAAGTATATGAAGATTCGACTCGTAGTTTAGTTTCGCTCGCTTTAGTTCGTGACAGGTTCCAGCGAATTTTTCGCAGCGATTAGTTCTATGATAGCAGAGATACAATACGAAAACTTAGCTGACTACTGAGCGAAAATCGTTCTCAGTGGAGTTCCCATTTAATTACCGTTTGTTTTCATATTCTTAGCTTAGTTTAGTTACGCTCGCAGTGGCCGCTCGCCTTAATTGTTCCCGACTAATATTGACATCCCCGTTGCTTGCTAATGGGTTTCGTTGTCAGTCAGAACTAGTATGATCTGTATAATTTTTATAATGTACGAAATATAACGAGATGTGTAATTACGTATATTAAAAACATATAGGTAGATATTATTATTATTATTACTATTGCAGATAAAAAAATTAAAAAAGAAACTCAAATCAGAGTTTAAAAACTATATCAGAAATAAATTATACGAAAATTTTACGAAAAATTGCATATTTTCTCACTTCAAGCTTTTTGTTTTTATCTAAATATCAGAATATCTACATATATTATATTTTAGAAGATATTTCATAATTTTTTTTAGAAGATACTAGAAGACTTTTAGAAGATATTTCATAATTTTAGGAACTTAAAGTGAAACATTCCCATAAAATATTTAAAAAACAAACTAAAAATCAAAAACAATATTATCCACGACAATTTTCTGTGGTAATTACGCCGGCTGTGGCAATAGACAAGGCCGAATCCATCGTCGTCGCCTTGTATTATATCTCGGATCTGCCGACTGAATAGATTCCCGTGAACTAGTCTTTTAATTAGTTCCTCTCAGTCGTTTCAGTGCGGGACAGGTAACATACGGCTGGCACTCCCCACTCCTGCCCAGCATCGGGCTACGATTGCGCTGACCAATCCGTCGCCGTGGCATATTATTATATATCGGTCACAGTCTCGATCCCGGAATGGGTCCTGAGGAACTAGTTCTTTGAGAAACCGAGAACTTCCTTTCGTTCCGGGGTCGGAATAGTTCATTAAAACTAGTTCGTTCACGAACTACAAACCTCTAAGAGATTGGCGTCTGCTGCTTCCTCTAGTCCCCCCAAAGAACTTGCCCTAAAGTTTTAAAGCATCGGTATCAAGTGCCGGACATTAGCACAGCAGGTGCTCTATGGTTTCTTCTTCCTCTCCGTATTCTCTGCAGTAGTCGTCGTTGGAAATATCTCATCTCACTAGGTTTACCTCCCTAGGGCATCTACCACTGGCCACAGTCTTCGAGCTGTAGCACAATCTTCACGGTGTTGCCACGTCTACTGATGGTTGGCCTTGATGGTCGTTCCTATAGCTTCCTTCAGTGTGTTAATGGTTAAAAGTAGTGGGTCATCTGCCACGGCCCCTCCCCTGGCCCCTCTTTGGCAAATCGGTCTGTTTCTTGGATGCCCACCACATTTTGTAGCCTGGTACCCAGCACAGAGTAGCCCAGCCATGTCTCAGCCAGGACAGTGGTTCTCGATAGTCCATCACAGTTTTCGATCTAACTGATTGCATGGTGATGCTTCTTAAAGCGCCCAAGCTGCCAGGCATCTACTTTTTCTCAGTAGTAGTTTTCTCAATCTAATGGGTCATTTTCAGAATTGAGAAGGAAATCTAACTGCTTATCGGTTTCATTCCAGAATATAAAACAAACGCATTGATCTACTTCATAATGGAGAGGATACTCGCTGTTATCTCTTTGATTGTACCTACATCTTATTGCACTGACCGCATTGACCGTGCAGAATGTGCCATTTTCGTGTGTTTTTCAGTTTTCTCACTCTACTACTACTCTATGAGTAGAACAGTATATGGATGCCGTTTGCACATTACTATGCTTTTTTATGAAACTGAAAATATTAAACACAAATATGCCCTAGATCTAGTAAAATGCAATAATTTCAAATTTGCCCTGTATGTAAAGGAACTAAGAGGGTTACGATAAATAACTAGGTAACGACTTTAGTTTCATAAAAAAGTAGCACAGTAAGTAAGGTAAAAACTGCATCTTTGTACCTCTACTCATAAGCGAAAAACCCTGTAAAACACAGACCTCTTTAAACAGAATTTGCTGACCCTGTATGTATATTGCATAAATATTACAATTACGAATATATCTTTCTACAAACATTTAAATAATGGTTTTCCCCATCAAGCTTCTCTCGACTTTTCACGCGGGATTTCCCTATTGTTCCCGGGTCCAGATCCCTGGATCCGCCAAGTATGTAAACTATCTTAACGCCAGAGAATGCCCTCTTCGGAGCAATTTATTGTTCTTTTCCGAGGGATTATGGCGGCAAACAGTTGTAGCTAGCGGGAATGTTAGAATGGGGCCGCGAATAACGTGTGTGCTTGAGAATCTGGTTTGCAAACGATTGTATATATTCGCGCGCCGAGCCACAATAGCTTCCGTATATGGAATTCGAGAAATAACTCGACAAATGTGAAGGTATTGTTATGGAATATAGCGGAAATGCACGTGTTATGTAGTTGGGAAGAGGCGTAAAATTGATATCGAAACGTGTATTGGTGTATGTAGATACAGTGTGTCACAATATTCCATAGATATACAGGGTTCTTCATGCTATTCGACATGAAGTATTGTAGCTAAATGATTATATTTTTGAAAATTGTGAGTGACGGGATCGTTGCAGCACTACTAAAGCTAGAATTTAAAATTATTTTCAAATAGAAAATAAGATAATGTGATAAGATAATGAAGTGTGTCCATTTGTTTTCAGTTGTGTAAAAATATTAAAGTTATATTTTTGTACATTATTACATTTTTGCTTTCTACGATTAAAATAAAGGTAAATTTGATTAAGATTTACCGCACTTTAATCTTACCGATTATGAAATAATTACGATTTTTTGAAAATCGTACTTATTTTTTAGGCGTTGTTAAGTTTTTAAAACTAAATATATTGTACTGTAAGTTTTTCTATTTACTAAATTTTGTGTTGCAATACTAAAAATAATACTACTGTATACAGAGTGTCTAAAAATTTAATTTAAAAAATTACTAGCTTTAAACGACAATAACTTGTTTAATTTAAATGGAACACGCAGTATATTTTACGTGAATCAGATATACGTTAATTGTCTATCAAATCGTATTATACCATCTTTTATTTCGCTTCCAATTTTCATAGAAACTCCATTTTCTTATAATTTAATTAATTAATTATAGATTATATAGGTACCCATGGAATATTAACATTTTTTTTTAAGTGACAAATTTACAAAATGTATCTACAGATGCTAAAAACGATAAAATTTCGAATTGAATGTGAACGTGTATGTTGTTATAGATAATCATACGTCAAAAAATTAAATAAAATTTCGAAGGTGTTACTTTTTACCACATTGTTTAATACACATAGAAAATGGCCACACCTCATGTCAACAATAGATTCGTGAAAGAAGAATAGAAACGAGTCAATACGAAAGACGCCATGATCGTGAATCAAACGTGTTAGATATTTCACGAACCAAATCAATAGTGACAAAGAAGTCGCAGAGGAAGTTGAAGTAAGGTTAGGTTTTATAATCATACTTTTTACCACATTGTTTAATACACATAGAAAATGGCCACACCTCATGTCAACAATAGATTCGTGAAAGAAGAATAGAAACGAGTCAATACGAAAGACGCCATGATCGTGAATCAAACGTGTTAGATATTTCACGAACCAAATCAATAGTGACAAAGAAGTCGCAGAGGAAGTTGAAGTAAGGTTAGGTTTTATAATCATATACTAAAATATATTAAAAAAATGTAACAATTAAACATTCGAACTTTTTTTTGCAACCAAGATTATAATCGTGTCAATTAATCAATAATAAGTCAATCAATATTTTCTAATGCGAGAATAGTGCAAAATATGCCTTTTATATTTTGCACTATTCTCGCATTAGAAAATATTGATTGACTTATTATGGATTAATTGACACGATTATAATCTTGGTTGCAAAAAGAAGTCGAATGTTTAATTGTTACATTTTTTTAATATATTTTAGTATATGATTATAAAAGTTATCTTCATATGCATAACAAAACCATAATTAAAATAAGTATAAATTCAATTTTTATATACAGCAATGAGTCTAATGAAAAGACATAAAATAGTAAATATTGGCAACTCTGTGAAGGGATATTGACATGAATGCCACAATTAATTATTTTCACTCGTCCTTTAATGTCGTAATATTTGGCACATTAGTGTACAACCTTCCACGAAAGGCACTTTATAGAAGACTGGCTGGCACGTGTGCCGTGTAAACAGCCTACGATCGCTGGACGATTTTCGTTTTTCACGAATGGCTTTTTGGTACTTTCGTAGCTCACGAAAGTGTGAGACATCAGCTAGTAATTATTTAGAATATTTTTAGCCAGCCTGTATAAGGTAGCCTTATTTTTATTATTGCAACACAATATTTAGTAAATAGAAAAATCCCAGTACAATATTTGGTTTTAAAAATACGCCTAGAGAAATGAAGCATTAAAATTTTTACTGCATTTTCACAAAATCTTAAATATTTTAAAATGGATTCTAATCAAATTTATCTTTAATTAATTTTTTTTTTAATTTTTAAACGATTTGATTTTTTACAATTTTAATATGATTTTCCGTGTAAGTCAAATGTTAAAGCGCTGAGTAAAACGTAGGTACCTCAAATCTCATGGAAATTGAAATATTGCCTCATAAAATATCTTACACAATGTGTTTTTTAAAAGTTTAATGCCCTAACGGCCAAAAACAACGAAGCGCTTGTGTATAGAGGTAAATTGTATCAAATGAACTTATTTTGATTTCGAAAATATGTAGTAGTTGTATGTAACGTATAAGCACAAAACGAAAATGTAAAATTAAAATTATATTACATGTAAAAAATATACGTATATAAATTACACTTAAAATATTTACGTAGTATAAATAAGTATAAGGGGTCTAATGGCAACAGATTGTTTTGATATTTCCCACGCCAGCAACAGCTTCGATCTCCACTCGGGCGTTCATAGGAAGTTTGCCAACTTGGAAAGCCGATCTTGCTGGATAATCCTTCGTGAAAACTGAAAAAAGACATTAAATTACTTTAAGTAACTGACAGATCTATGAAGTTTTTATTTCTACGCAATTTTAAATGGGTTAAATAAAATGTATACTTTTGTGGCGGATTCATTTCTAAAAAATATATAGGTGTATGTGGGATTTCCATACAAGTTTTTTGGAAATTGGAAGTCAGTAGGCTCAAAGCTTTAATTATCTGCTGATGATGCTAACATGGTTAGCGAAACGCGCGTCCAGTGCAAAAGTAAAATGTCGTAAAAAATGTCTATACCTATGTGGCGGATTCATCTCTCCAAAAAAAATCCTTTATGGGTATTTCGCCACTGCACTGCAAGAAAATCTACAAAATAAAATAGTTATTTTTTGTAAACACTTCTGCGTTAAACCTAAACGGACACTGCTTGTCAGAAGTTATATTTACAGTTATACAAATTTGCCTAACAAAGAATAAAATGCTTAACGTTTCGTCTTTTTTTTGTTTTAAAATGTCGCCTTACAACATGTTTTCTGACTCGTTGGACAGATGGCCAGACTTTAAATCCTTAAAAAAATTGAAGCCACTTAAAAAAGTGTTAAATCTTTTTAAGCAATACTAAAAGTTATTATACTACATACGTTACAAGTGAAATCAGATTTAGATTATTCTTTTAGAGTAGAAGAAAAAAAGAAAATAATGAAATACTCAACTTTGCACATTTCATTAGTTACTACACACTTTTGTTTTGATATTATTAAATACTTAATTTTATTAGTAAAAATGTACTACTAAGTACTCAACAAAATTAAGTTGTTTTACCATTTAATATAATCTTCGCGTATTGGTTATGCTGTTGTAATGGAGTGATTCTTTCCACAGTTAACCTGCTCGTGATTTTTTATTTTTTATTGCTACTTTTAAACTACGGTTGTGATTTCACTATCGTAATTTCCTCTATCAATGAGGGTATTCTCTAAGTTAAAAAAAAACAACGCTTTATTGTACAAAAAGCCAAAACAGCTTCATCGACAAAGCATTCACAAAACAAAAAAGGACAAAAACAAATATACAAATAATAAAAGTTTTTTTTTTTTAATTTTAAAAAATATTTTAAAATTATTTAATTTCGACAGTAACATCCAAATTTTAAATTTTATTTAGCGTTTAGCCTATAAAGGGAGGAAAAAATTCAAAATCATCAAAAATTAAGTCATGAACAATGAATAAGAATAATTATTAAATCAATCGTCTAGCCTAGACGAGAAGTATGAGTTTTGATTGTTTTGGTTTCAATTTGTTTAATGATCCTTCTTGGTTTAATTTTTACCTTCTTTCAATGTCTTTATTATAAAATTGAATGGCTGACAAAATTTTTAGTTCGCTGCTGTATCGATCGTAGAGTATGTAGACTGTAGAATGAGTGAAAAGGGTGGTTAATCACTACGACCTTAAAGATCTATTGTGTTCCCCTTCCTTGAGTTATAACTCATCATACATGAGGATTTACCTGTTATAGGGGGACAGGGTATTTCCCATCCTCCTCTGACAATAGATGTCTTCCTCCGATGGTATACACCCTTCCACGGTTGGGGTTTGGGCCTCGGTGTTCTTCACAGTCGAGGAGCTTAAGGCGCTTAAGGCCGAAGGAGCTGTATGTCGAGGCACCAGTGAGGTGGCGGCTGGAGGATCTGCCTCCATTTTTTCACCTCTTTAACTTTTCACTTCTTTAACCCAAACCAAACTTGACACCGTTGTTGTCCCGAATCAGTAATAGAATCTATAATATCCCTCTTTTTCTATTGCCTTGTTGGATTTGAAGTCAATTCCTATTAAGACCTAACCATTACCTTCCTCTCTCGAGTTGATGAGTGACCAACCAACTTGATGTCCTTACATTGGAGTTCTGATCCTGGATATCCTGGATAATAAGGCTCAGCAGAAAGACCGTGATGGTATGTTTTCTCCCTTCACTGCAACCAGTCCCGGCCTCTGCCAATTCTTAAGCTTAGGTGCCGTTTCCACAAAACAATCCGCCGATTCATAAAATATACAATCTATGAGGAGCATGCCCACCCGAAGTGTATCGCCGCAAAACGCAGCTGATCCACATTTTTTGGTTTTTGGGCCTACCAGGCTTGCGTTCTATCTAGCCACGCATCCCTTTGACCTTATCCCGCCATCGTAAGATTTAGGTTTTTGGTGAGGTTGTCTCCTCTTGGTCCGGGCGGTTAAGCCAAGACCACCTTCTACCAGTGAGACATGGCCACAGACCAAAAGAAAAGGTGCTATTGTTAATCACCTAGGAAAGATGTTAGCAGCATCAAGCAGCACAGGTTTCTGCATTAGGTGGTAAGTATTTTCAGGTATTCCAATTACTTTTAATTGTTATTCCAGGATAACCGGGATAATTCTGGGAATACCTGGACAGATTCCATTTGCCATATAGTTTTTATTTCTGCTCAAACCAAATCTTGATACTTTGTTATTTTTTCTGAAAATTTACATTGTATATTGTTGTTGTTAGGAATAGAAATATCAATTAGTAAAACTGTTTTTTTTATTTAACTATTGTTATTATTGATTTGATGATTGAAATGGTTAGTTTTTTTTTGGAGGTGTAAAATACCTTTACGTACGGAGTGTGGGACTCAATCTCTCCTTAAGCTGTCTGGAGGATACTACCCACTAAACGTCACCCCCTTGCTCCTGCCACGTCTACCTGGACCCTCTGGACGCATCTCCTCAAGTAGCGCCGGACTGTTCCTTTTTTGTCATTACCCCTGCTCTTCGCTGTATTTTGCCTCTAGTATATTTTGGGCCAGTTTTGAGATGGCTTCAAAGTTTTCTCTTCTTTCTGTTACCGATTTTAAGAAGGTATCTGCGGAGATGTTGCCACCAATCGTCATGCGTACCTCACATCTTTCCTGTTCCCATCTTGGACAAGCAAACATTGTGTGTTCTGGAGTATCATTGGGTTCAGCACAGTATCGGCATTCCGCGACTTCCCTCTTTCCAATTTTACAGAGGTAACTCCCAAAATTTCCGTGGCCACTCAATATTTGAGTAAGATAGAAGTTTACCTCTCCATGCTTTCTTTTAATCCACATATTTATATTTGGGATGAGCTTATATGTCCATCTTCCTTTTTGTGATACTTCCCATTCTGCCTGCCACTGCTGCACTGTGCGGTTTCTCTCCATCTCTCTGCTTGCCCTGGTTTGTACTTCACCCTTGAGAAAGAGTCGTTCTCTTTCTCTTGAGAGAAGATGCAAGGGCACCAGACCCGATATCACCAAGGCTGCCTCAAAGCCATGACTCTCTGTGCACCTTCAAGTCTTTTTTTATTTACGTGCATATTGGTTGCTTCGTTCCACACAGGTGCTCCATACATAATAATATTCTGGCACGCATATGCTAACACTCTTCTCTTTGCTGGTGTTGGGCCCCGAACGTTTGTCAGTATTGCGGACAACGCTTTAGCAGTTCGTTGTGATTTCAGACACACCTCCTTGATGTGCAGGCCCATCGTGAGTGCACGGTCTATGTGGAATCCAAAATTTATTATTTTATCCTTAAAATTAAACTTTATATGGTCAACTTTTCTCTTGCGGCTCAGTAAAATCACCTCTGTTTTTTCCGAGTCTTCGAGAATTTCGAGTCTGTGCTCACGCATCCATCTGGCTATGATCTTTAGTGTATCATCCACAGTCTGCATTAGGTCGAGGTCGTTTATTTTTTTGTTTCTTTTAGTTTTTTTTGTTATTATCACAGCAAGATCATCGGCGTAACAGATCAACTCTGTCCCACCTGGTACTTTTTCTAATTTTGTTATTGCTACTGTTGAAATGTAATTATTATGCCTGGGTATCAGAACTTGTATACTCTTTAGGGGTCATGAATAAATGATTTATGAACAATTACAAAAACGGTAGCTTATCCTTTTTTTTCCTATTTTTGAGATTTCTGGACTTTACAGCTTTAAACTCCTTTAAAAAACTCTTCATAAAATATAGACTAATCCTTTTTTGGCAAACCCCTTTCGTCTAATTAGATCAAGCGGAAAGTCATTCAAACATCGATATTTCACAAAGATATCGAAGAAAACGGCTGCTGTCGATAAACCGGCGTGCATAATTTACTCCGGATCCCCTTTTTCGGATCTTTTTCGTTTTTTTCATCTTACGCAACGGTCCGTAAAATGTTTCCTAATTAAATAATAAAAGTTTGAGTAGCGACGCAGCGCGAGGAAAAAAATGGAGTCGCTCCCAGTTTAGGGTAGCGTTACTCGCCGGAGTTAAAACGTTATTAACACTTTGTCGACTTTTTTCCCTTCTTTTTTAGCAGTTCTGGAAGACGAAGAGGGTGAACGTTTGCAAGAGGGTGATTTTTGACGGTTAAATATTGGACGAAAATTAGGTTTCGGTGAAAGTATTAAGGGGAGACTTCTTCCGGTTCTATTTTTTTTCTTTCTTTCGTGATGTAGTTAAAAGTAACGGTACAGAAAAAATTAAGTATACAGGGTGTATAAAAAGAGTGTATTCAAACTTCCGCGGATGATGACAGATAAAAATAAAAGAAAGAGTTCCTACGAACACACTACCCTGAGATGCTTCGCGAGGAAGTTACAGGCCTCACATAGAACAGACCTTGTCAATTTTTAGAGCATGTCTAATATATAACTACATTGCTATTTGTTTCATTACACTCCATTCAAATTCCTATTAGATACCTATCCAAAATTTCCTTCCGGTTAATCGAGGGGTTGTTTTTTATCCAGATTGTAAAACACCCTGTGCAATAATTTCGTGTGTAAATTTTCCTAAAATATAATTTTACGGTAAGAACTATGTCTCCTGAGCATCTTGTTTTTTGGAGCACGTCAGTGCATGCTTTGGTTAATTTTTAAGAGCGAAATGAACTGATCACGATCAATTTACATTTTTTTTTCAGTTAACATTACTTTTGATGTAATTTTTTAAAAAGACGAGATGGTTTTGGTGACTATTGTCGTAACGTCATATTACGCTGCATCAGATACTCTATACTAAATTTAAAAAAAAAAAACGTTAAAGACTAACGTTACAGTCCTGGTTTTAATAAACATTAATAACGATAACAGAACTAACGATATTAAGGAAAACATCTGTAATACTGAAGTATACAAATAAAAAAAAATTGTAAAAAATACCCTAATACTTTGTATCCCCTGGCTGCTATAACTGCCTGTATACATTTGTTCATACTGTCATTGAGGCTGCATAGGTATATCATATTGCATTATGTTTTCCCATTTTTCTTCAAGGACCAAACGAAGTTCATTTAATGAAGCTGGTAACGCTTCGCGACTTCTAACCCTCCTGCCAAGCATTTCCCAAACGTCAAACATGATGGCTAGTTCATAGTAGTATATAGTTCACAATAATTACCAAAGCTGCCTTGTCATATTGAAAAAAAAACTTCAACAATCAATTATAATTGAAGAAATCGCAGATTGTTGGTGGCAAGTTCATTTCGCTCTTAAAAATTAACCAAGAGATGTATTGACATGATCCAAAAAACAAAATGCTTAGGACATGGTTCTGACCCTAAAATTATATTTCAGGAAAATATACACACGAAATTATTACACAGGGTGTGTCAAAGTTAGGGTAAAAAAACAACCCCTCGATTAACTCTGCATAATATATGCCAAATACTAAAGTTTATAAAAAACTGAGTTTACAAATTAAAGTTGATATAATTATATACAGCTTGCTAAAAAATTAATGAAAATAGGGCTAAAAATAACAAAAATATAAATTTGACTAAAATTTTCTCTGTTGCGTTTTTTTGCATCTGAGTGTAGTAGTTTATGTCCACGGAATTTTGGGGCACCCTCTATATTATTTTATGCAACATAATTTCTCTAAAAAGATTACTTTTTTAATTATTCATTAATATATCCGTCAGTTTATTAATGTAAGTAATTAAGTTTACATTCGTTTCTCAACCAGTCTATATTGCCTCCATAAACATAATAACTTCATAGATATTTTTAAACTCTTAAATTTTCGTCCGCCCTCCAAATACCTGGTAAGTATATTATGTAGATAAATCTTAACTTACATTAAAATAACATAAGCAGCTATTAATCGAGGAACCTAACCGTATTTGTTTACTTTCAGTATTAACTCCATTTGACTGTTTAATTATGTCTGCTTAAGAGTCCGTATACATGATATGTATAGTAGTTTATAATAAAACTGTTACATGATCACACGGTATGATCAAAAAAAAAACAGCGTACAGTCTAGCTGGCTTGGAAAATAATTCCAATCGATGACATTTCCCATATAATTTTACATATAAAATGACAGCCATTTTTATTTCAAAGCCATTGCTGACGCCGTTTTTTTTTCGATCATATTGTATAGAACATAGATTAAGCTAGGGTTGCCAACCGTCCTCTAATTCAAAGGACAGTCCTCTTTTTATCTCACTGTCCTCTTTTCTCTCGTGTATTAAAAATGTCCTCTTTCTTACATACCAAACTCAAAATCTAAAAAATATTCGTCTATCGCCACAATGCTTTAAAAATTGTTAATCTGTGTTTTTCCCTAGTATTCTCTTTCGCACTCGTTTGTACAGAAAAGAAAATGAAGAAATATTTATGCACAAGAAATATTTGTTGAAGCAATAAACATGTTTAACTATTTAATGTTTACTAACTGTTACAAGTTTTAAAAAAAAGTTTTGTTGAGAATGTTTTTTTTTATTTTAACAAGTTTTGAGTAAAAATATTTTTAAAAAAGTAAGAAAGATCATCAATCGCATACCGTTGACATAACTAATAATATAATAATTTTGGCGAGTTTTCAAAAAATGTTCGCTTGTACCTCTTTTTTACCCTGTCGTCTTCTATCTTCTGTTTTGAAAGCTGGCAACCCTAGATTAAGCAATTATATATTAATCCCGTCAAAAACATAAAATACCAAGTCTGGAATATCAGTTCTTCCACTACAAAAATTGATGAGATATCATGTAAAACCAAGTCACTTATTTTAGATCGTTTATATTTAAACACCTCTTCAACAACTTTGTTAAAAATTGTTTTCTAATTAAAAGAGAAAAATGAAATGTTTTTAAAGAGTTAGAGGAAGTCTTAATGAAGTCTATATTTTCTTCTTACGCGGTGCATGTAATTTTAATATTTATTCATAATCAAATAAAAAACGTCTAATATTTTTTACACCAACCATCAAATATAAATTAATATATATGAAGAATAATATTTACAATATACAGATTATATTTACATTCTTTGTTAGCTTATTCAATATCAGCAATGTGGTTTACAATGTTTCTCAAGCGTATACACATTTTCGATTACAACGTGAATATGATATACTGTATGATCGATAAAGTGCGACATAACAAAGTTTCCAAAGATCATCTATTTTCAAAAAATTATTTTTACTGAATATAATTATCGTGTTAATGGGTAGTATCTGTAGGTAAGAATTTTTCGAGGTAACACAAAAGTAGATACTTACATTCTTTGTAGACCTCGTTGATGGCAACAAAATCGTTAATATCACTCATGAATATGGTCGTTTTGACAACTTTATCGAATGCGGAGTTCGAGGCAGTCAATATGTGACCCAGGTTCTTCAGGGCTTGCCTGGTTTCAACACCCACGTCGCCTTCTACTAGTTTCATCGTGTCTTTGTCCAGGCCCAAACAACCAGAAACGTACAGGGTGGACTCTAGAAGGACAGCCTGGCTAAAAATAATATTTAATGTTAACAATTGTTTAAGATTTTATATGAATTCAAATATTTTATAAGACACTAGCGTGTACCGGCGACTTCGTTCGCGTCGAATTAATCATTTGTAATAGTGCTAATAAAGCAAAGCAAGAATTTCCATTAACATACAAACTGGATAAAATTTTCTCACATTTATGTCAGCATGAGAAAAAACAATATGGCGATATTATTATATAACCTGGTAATATTTGAGGGGTAGTTTCATCTCGTTGGAATTTGACTTTCGAAAAATCCGTTTGCCAAAAATAAGCTTTTTACGTCAAGCAGTTTAAGCAGAATCGGGGTTAAGAAATTACCCAACTTTTTGGAACAGCCTGTATGATTTTCTAAAAAATTTCAAAATATGTAAAAAAAAAACAAATAAATTATGCTTGTCCAAGAGTTTTCCCGAAAGACTAACCGTTTTTTAAATAACAAATATTGTAAAATTTAAGGGGCTTTTTCACCCTCTTGGAATTTGAGATTCGAGAAACCCCTCATCGAACCTCTACACCCCACAGTCAATCCGTTTGCCAAAAATTTAGGAGATCTGAGTTGCGCGACAGGGAAACAAAATGCGATGCCATTCGTCCTAATTTAATCTGCCACTCTCTTTTTATTACCTTTCTCTATGGTAGAAGTATGTAGTTTGCAAACGACCTATTAGAACGATTATTTAGTGGGATTGTCTGGTAAGAACCAAATGAACTAGCAGAGGTAAACTAGATGTTTATCTCTGAAACTAGTTTGCGCGAATTATTTGAAAAGCTTGCGCTAATTAGTTAAAAGAAAAAGAACTATAAGCATACCTCTAAAGCCTAACAGCACCCCTATCGTAGAGAAGATGAAATCCATAAAACAGTTAAAACAGTTTTAAAATTCGAAGTGAATGTGTTTCATGTGATCATATACCTGAATCAGAAAGGCGCAATATCTTAAAGAAAGTAATTTTCTAAAGATAGATTTTGTTAGTAAGTTAGTACGTACACTTCGTGAGTGCTTAAGAAAATGGGAAGACATTGGTTTCCTGTTTGCAGGACTTGCACGTTAAGAATATAATAAATAATAACTTAATAGCATAATATGCTACATACATAATAGAGGTAAGCTTTTTCTATTATTATGTGTGGGATAACAGTGCTATTGGCAAACACTATTAAACAAGAAGCGTGACTTTGCAATATTCTTTGGGTGGCGGTGGGTAATAAATAACATTTAGGTGAATTTTTTTTTTTTAATTTTTAGTTAAAAAATATATCTTAAAAACGTGACAACATTTGCGTTCGTGGAATACTGTAGTTTTGAACTTTATTGTTTATCTAATTTTATGTTTCTTACTTATTTGTAACACAGCTTTAAACGTCTAGCAGTTTAAGCAGAATCGTGATTACTCAATGGTCATATTTTATGAAATACCCTGTATAAATTTATAAAATATCTTAAAATATGTATAACAACAAAATAAAATATACGTAGTTTTTCCGAAAAACTCGCCGGTTTTTGAATAAAAAATATTTTAATATTTGAGGGATAGTTTCACCCCCTTAGAATTCGAGTTTCGAAAAATCCCTTCTTATCGAACCTCTACACCCTAAAGTCAATCTGTTTTCCAAAAATCAGCTTTTTACGTCAAGCGCTTTAAGCAGGATTGTGATTAATCAATGACCAGATTTTTCGAAACACCCTGTTTACATTCTTAAAAAATCTTAAAATATGTAAAAAAACAAAAAATATACGAGTTTAAGCGTTTTTTCGGAAACTTGGCCATTTTTTAAGTAAAAAATATTGTAATATTCGAGGGGTGCTTTCACCCTCTTGGAACCTACACCCTAGAATCAACCTGTATGCCAAAATTGAGCTTCTTACGTTGAGTAGTTTGAGCAGGATCGTGATTAATCAGTATGTTAGTCACTTAAGGATTTTATTGTCGGATTTATTAACGTATTATTTATTAGTATAGATTAACAGATATTGCTGTCTATCTTTATTAAAATTATTTAATATAACACAATATGTTATTTATTTGTTATTAGAACGAATAATTTTTATGTAGAGGGTGATTGGCGGCGATGGCACTTTAGAGAACAGGTGAGAATTTTTATGAAAATTTACATAAAGTCATCTGCTCGATAATACTAAAATATTTTCAGCATTACCATTCGAAAAGTGGTAGCATCTTTCTTATTTTAAATAGAACACCCAGTATATTATTACATTTCTGGAAACTACTTTCATATCTCATAATTTTTCTATTATACTAACCTATATCCCTAGCATTTTTTGAGATAATAAATAAATCGTCTAAAATTGACAAAAATATGATCTTGATTAACTATTGGTACAATCATGAATTGAACATTTTAAAAGTTGAAATTTGGACTATAAGTTTACTAAAATCGATATATTCGATCTGTCTAAATAACCGTTTGTTATAAAATTGCTCTATATCTTTGTTATTTTAAATTCAACCCTATGTATATTATTTAAAAAATCAAAAGACTAATAAAATTTCTGTTCAACGATATATCATGTACCTAAACCTTGCGACTTCTTTAGTAGAGCCTATTTAAAAATTAATAATTTTATTATTGTAAATTCATTAAAAGAATTTCGTTACCATAACAATTTCAGAAATTTAGCAGGTAAACTCTAATTGATATACTTATAAAGTTTGAATATTTGTCATGGTAACGATTTTTATGGTAAACGAAACAATAATTATTATAATAATAAAAAATAATAATTATTATAATACAACTATTATCAAATGTAATACCACAAGATGTTTCGGTATTACCGAATAATACTTTTACCTGACACGAAATGCGTTACCCGGCAACACTACGACTCTAAAGGAGAAGTAGTGTTGCCGGTATCGCATTGAGTGTCAGGCAAAAGTATTAGGTAATCCCGAAACATCCAGTTGTATTCAAAAGATTATACAACGAAATAAAGTACATATATCCTTCTTATCTTCAACATTTTTATTAAATTATTTCAATTTTGAAACTTCGTGCAAGGCAAAACAGTAAACTGCTTCCATACATATTTGTCTGAATGCTCGGTATTTCTTGGCTTCACATTTTTAATAGCATCGTCAACTTGAGACAACAAAATTTTACCAAATCTTTCTTTTGCTATTTTGTAATAAGAATCATATAAGAATTGACGGAATATTTTGTGGAACTGACAGAAATGACTTCTGAATTAATATTTCAAAAAATGACAATTACAATATGGCCACCAAGCGATAATCACTTAAATGATTATCACTTATTAATCACATCCTTCTATATAGGAAAAATATACATAGAGTTGTATAATATTTTAAACTTATTTACTGAAGAAACCAAAAGGTTTAAAAAAGTTTTTTTTGAAATGCAATTTTATTTCGGTTTTGATTTTTTAAATAATATACATAGGCTTGAATTAAAAATAACAATAATTTGAAGGATTTTATAACAATCGGAAATAAGTATTTTTTCTGACCCCCTGTTTGATATCGAATCAGTTCATTTAGACAGATAAATATGTCGACCAGTCGAATTTCCTTAACCTATAAACCAAATTTTAGCTTTCAATATGCCGAATTTTTTTTTCACTGTAGGCATAACGACAGTTTTGTTGTAAAACTGAACGATCTTGTGAGTTCTCTTAACGGTTTTCATTCCGTCTTAATTCAGTTCATATAAAACGGGCAGTTTTTTCGTCTACACACAGGGATCTACTTTATACGTTTGGACTGAACAAGAAAGACTGACAGCTAAAACGTAATGTGTAGACGCAGCTTTCGATCCTATTTTTATTAAGTAAATATATTTTAAAAAGTGTTCAAACACAAATATGATGTTATAAAATCTGATAACTGTATTTACAATAGAATTATAAATATTATGTTCAAGGTAAAAAGGTTCTTAAATAATAATAATTACTAGTATTAATACTAATTGAAAATCGATAGGTTGCATGTTGTATGTAATAGTAGATATCTCTATCTGTTTATGGTGTGATTAAAATGAATTATTATTAAATACAATAAACTTAAAATTAAATAAAAATAAACGTCTCTCTGAGTATTTTTATCATAGAAAATAAAATCCTGAACTTATTATCTAGCCTAAATGATATATCATCAGAAAAACTTAATTATCCATATTGTACTTCTTAATAGTTGTTATAATAATTATTATATGCTTATGTATAAATGCTAGTGCTGTGGTATTTTGTTCTATGATGGTTACATTACTATTTACACAGTAAACCACTTACTTGTAAGGGGCTATAGGCCTAGGTGCGTTGTTCGTATTGATGATTTTCCTAGTAAGAGTCATCCCCGCACTATTCTGCAAACTAAAAAAATGTAAACTGTCCCTTGACACTGACAATTGGACCACTTTCTTCAACAGACGTCCGTAAGACAATGACATTTGGCTAAGTCATATATACAAAGCGCTATCAATAAATAGATAATACTGTAATGTCTGTAATTATTTCGTAAACTAGCGCAATTTAAAAATGTTTACTCGATCCAACTGTTACGGCAATATTTGAACAGACGAGATTCCAACTGTGACGTTTGACCTTTCACTTAACTCATTGATAACAATGATAACATGGCAACTGATTTAATAGTTTATTTTTTAAAAATCACGAGACCGGAAGGGAAAGATTTATATTTGTTTTTTTTATATTTCAAATTTGTTTTGATATACACAAAAATAATATATCTGTCTAAATTTGATATTTTTTTAGATTTATATGAACTTCTGATTTTTTTGTTATTTTTGAAAAAGTGGATTTTCACAATATTACTTCGTTTCATATAGCAATAAAATACAGGGTGTCTCAAATTTGATGGTGGCTATTGGGATCTCGGAAACCGTAAAGGCAGGTTTGGTTTGGTCCACAGTCAAGTCAACTGATTACTTGAATTTATTTCGTATGAATGTAATACCCTTGATTATGTATAAATAGATATACAATGAGCGCTTAGTAAAATACTGTCTTCTAGATGGCGCCTTGCCCGTTTTGCATTTTTGTATTCCCCTACGATTTTCTTTGAGGGGAATCCGTTAAACCCGCCCATCGTTCAAAAATGGAAGGGCGCGAGGTCACATCTATTGGGCTACTTATTAGCACGTTTCACGCATGTTTTACGAAAATAGCTTTATCCTTGTTTGTTTCCAACTGTGACAAGAAAAAAAGAAAAAAAAGTCATATTCGTTTCTAAATTCGGCAGTTTTGTTTATCTTTCTCGACTTCTGATTTCGTTTCGTTTAGGTTATGTCTTAAAAAATAATTATTTATAATCTTTTGAGTTGAAATATACCTTAATGCATATCTAAATAATTAAAAAATCAATTTTTTCGTCCCTCGCGAAGAAACGAAACAGTATTTTTGAATATTTGGATTACAAACTATTATTTTATGAGTTTTATGTGTTGTGTTTACGTGATGTGTAATGTGTATTTTGTACCTGTTGGATAATATTTTGAAACATATTTAATTAAACAAAAAGCATCTGTATTACAGGTGAGTAAATACTGTTCATATTTATTTCCTAAATTCATATAAATTTGTTTTGAATCACTCTTGGTTTTAGAGTTTTTTATCTTAGAGTTTTACCTCATAGAGTCTGAGATAAGTTTAATAATAAACATTAAATTTGATAGATTGATAGATAGATTAAACGATAATGGCCAGTTGACTTAAAAATTTAAAAAATGCTGATTTTTTATGCTATAAATTATGTTTCATTTCTTACTTTGCTTTTTGGAACTGTCAGATATATTGTGTGTATTTTATAATTTTTCTTAATTAATAACGTAAAATATTGTTTATCTACAGTCAACCCTGTGTTTTAGATAAAACTTCATATCAGATTTCCTATTTTATATTTTCACTCAAATCATATTTTTTTGTAAAAAATAGGTATGCTTGCATGCAAAAAAGTAGCGTAAATTTAACAAGGAGGTATTTTTTATAGATATACAGGATGATTCATAGATTTAAATACATATTTACTTTAGAGTTGTATAGTTTGTCAAAAAGAAAGGCTATATTTTTATTTTTCTTGGTGAATTTGTCAAAAAAATTGTCATTCCAGAAAATACTATAATGTAGGGTTCCCAACTTGAGCATCGGCGATTCGGGACAATTATTTTTAAGTTTTTTAAATAATTGAAACAAAACATTAAATATTAGAAATTCAAAATATATTATATGTAAAATGTGATTTTTGAAAGTCCCAGCCAAAGACTAAAAATTTTCTTGGGACTCTTTCTGGTCCTAGGTTAATCCCGGTCAAACCAGGACAGTTGAGAACCCTACTATAATGTCGTAATCATTATAGAGTTCATTTTGACCATTTTTGGATTAAATAATAAATTTTTTGTTTTATATAATAAAATATATATTTAAAGCCCTTTCTAAGTTAAAAATAAGTAATATATGGAAGTTTTACTGGAACTAGTTTAAGAGGTAATGTTCTCTTCATATAATTATATAAAAAATATGCTAAATTCCTAAATTATTTATATGATTAAATTTTCTTTATATTATTTTTTTTTGTATATTATATACAGGATGAGTCAAAACTAGATTTTATATTTTTCTTTGCTATTTCAAATGGAACACTTTATTTTATATCATAAATCAACAAATCTTTTATCCAACTTTTGTTTTGTTAAGATCTATATCCCAAATTAATAGTTATTGAATTGTTCTCAATAATTGTCTCTTTGAGAATAAACATGATTTGTTTTTCGCAATTTTTATTAAGTAGGTTTGTCGTTAAAAGTGATGTATCTATTATTACTTTATCAGCGACAAAAATTAAGAATTAGATGCCTAAAATAATTTCCTAATTATTTTTTACTTAGCATTATCATTAAATATTATTTATTTTATCGCTGCAGCTGAAAATAATTATGTATTCCAAAGAGAGGACATTACTGTATAAATATCGATTATTGGATTTAAAAATTATTTTTCAAAACAAAGTTGGAGAAAACTACGTTTATGTCATAAAATGTGGAGTTCTCTTTGAAATAATCGAGAAAAACCCAACATCTAGTTTTGACGCCACCAGTATATATCATGCATTATAGTTGATTACATACGTAGTTTTGTTTGGTGAAAATGAAACTTTCTAAAAGTATTCCCAATTAAAACATATTAAGAATTTCCTACATTATAATTTTGAAAGACGTTTGAGTGGGCAGACAATTTGGTTTAAAATAATCATATGTCTAAAAAATTTAGTCTAAAATAATCAAAAACCACTTAACACATATAACTCGCTTTTAAAAAATCTAAAAGAAATAAGTTTGTTTATTATATGTATATTTTATTAAATTATTATAGGTGTGACTGATAAGTGGTCGTACTCGCCACTTTAACCAACCATTGTTGGGACCATGGTAGGACCTTCAGAGATTATAATGCGAATTTTTCATACCATGTAAATCTATATACATATATTAATAAATGCGTTTGTTTTATTAAATTTGTTTTCTTATATGGTATGAGCGAAAAAAAACGGCGTCTATTTGTTTATGTACAAATATATGACATCGATATTCATTTCCAAGCCACCTCTGACGCCGTTTTTTTATCGTATGGTATACACTTACATATCTCTTATCCTTTAAATCCGATTTATTTCTAATAATTTAAAAATAAGATACCTGATTGATTCTTTCGAAATATTATAAAATGAGATATCAGGAAATAAATAAAGTTAATTATCTCGTTTGTTTTGGGAATTCACAAAAAAGGGTATAGAGAATCTTAAGAGACACAGTTCAAATATTATTTTTGAGTATAATGGGTGCTTTCAAAAAATGTGGCGGATATAATGTAACATGTTTTTTAATGCAAAACTCTTATTTATAACCTTTATTTTATTTTCGATTCTGCCTAAAATTCTATAACTTTTTTTTATAAATAACGTTAGTATTTGCAAAAAAAATTATTCCTATGTTACATAATTGTCAGTTGTTTCCGAAGTTGGGCTACACAAATTTGGTAGGAGTGTTTTACAGAGGTGAAGAAAAAGATATATGTAAAAATACTTGGAGTTAGATGCTACACTGTGTTCAAACAGATTTTTTTGGCTGATCCTATATATTATTATTTTTTCTAGTGCTTTTACAAAACCTTTCAACATTTGTTAAGAAAGTATATTAAGTACATCTATACTCTATACAGCTTGCAATCTGTTCTGAATTTTTCAACTTTTATCCTTCTTTTACTTCATTTACACTAGGTATAACAAGTTTTGCCATGACAAAACAAAAATTATTTATTATTAAGCATTAAAGTAATTTATATAGTTATATGACATTATTAATAGAAATTGAAGAATTTTGTAAAATCTATCAGAAAAAATTATAATATACCGGGTGTTTTTCAAAAGTGGCTTGATTGACGTATTCAATTAGTTTCGGTTATTTCTTGTTTCACCGGAAATGACTACAACTTGGTTTTTAAATGGTACCGTCGGTATTTTTTTACTTTATTTGACAGAATATGGCATTGTGAATAGAATAATTTAATGTCAACTTTTGACATATTTACTTAAAAAATTGTATTTTAAATTACAATCTAGAGTGCCATGATAAAAAACAACATGTAACCGGTCGTAAAGGTAACGACAGTTTGACTCGATATACGAAGTGTGTGGTACCAAATTACCTATTTACCAGGTACCAAAAAGGAAAAGACACAAAAAATATTAGACGATCAAATCAATTTTTCCGAAGCTCCTTGATTAAAAATTAATGGTTTTAACACAGCCATGACACTAGATTGAATTTTAAAATGCTATTTTTTTTAATTGAAAATGTCAAAAGTTGACATATGATATATGTCATTCTATTCAGAATGTCATTTTCTATCAAATAAAGTATAAAAAATACTGAGGGTACCATTTAAAAATCAAATGTTGTACTCGTATACATTTCCGGTGAAACAGGAAGTGACCGAAACTAACGGAATACGAATCAATCTCGATTTATGTTATATACCTACTAACATTCCGAATTTGGTAAACCCCGAATTTAATTTTTTTATCTGAAAAAATAAAAAAGTTATAGAGGTGAACCGCTTTTGAAAAAACACTCAGTATAGGCTGCGTCATTGAAAGAATCTGCAGATATTTTTCTATTTTAAATACGTAGTCGAATTTCAAAAATATATATTGAACACCCTGTAGCTCTACATAAATATCTACATATAAATATCACCAACATTTTCTTCATCAACAAATTGAAATATTATAAAACTAGTTTTAGGTTACACCATTATACAAGAAATATACGTAAAAAAAGTAATAGAATTTTACGCAGAATCTAAAATAAAATAGGATGTTACATTTAAAAAAAATTCACAGTCCTTTACAAAGATGCAACCGGGGGGCATTGAAAATGATGAATAAAAACGTAAAATTATGATTAGTGTTAATATGAGCGTATTACATACATATGTTTAAATAAC